TTTCCCTAAAGGTCAAGCCACATAACTAAGAGCATGCAAAAAATTAGCCAGATGTAAGGACGGTAAGTGCCCTAAAATCCGTTTTGAAATCACCCTCTGTTTTCCCCCATAAAATACAAAGATTATATAGGGAAATACGACTGGTCAGTTTTGACCCATTTCCCGAATTTTTCCGGACATGGCGAGTTTTTTGTGACACCCCAAGGCGTTTTCCTACGACCTCACAAAATTTCAAAAGGGAGGGGGGGGGGGGTCGTCGGAGGAAAAATTTATTCGTAATAGAGCTCATATAAAGAGAATTTCACTCGCGGTCACTTTTTAGCCCTCATCGAGGGCTTTGAGTCAAACCGACAATTTTCCCTGAAGGTTAAGCCATTTACCTAAGAGCATGCAAAAAATTAGCCAGATGTAGAAAAGGTAAGTGCCCTAAAATCTGTTTTGAAAACACCCTCTGTTTTTCCCATTAAATACAAAGATTATACAGGGAAATACGACTGGTCAGTTTTGACCCGTTTCCCGAATTTTCCCGGACATGGCGAGTTTTTTGTGACACCCCAAGGCGTTCTCCTACCACCTCACAAAATTTCAAGGGGGTCGTAAGAGGAATTTTTTTTCGTAATAGATCTCATATTAAGCGAATTTCACTCGCGGTCACTTTTTAGCCCTCGTCGAGGGCTTTGAGCAAAACCGACAGTTTTCCCTAAAGGTAAAGCCATTTAACTAAGAGCATGCAATAAATTAGCCAGATGTAAATAAGGTAAGTGCCCTAAATTCCGTTTTGAAATATACATCTGTTTTTCCCATAAAATACAAACATTATATAGGGAAATACGACTGGTCAGTTTTGACCCATTTTTCGAATTTTCTCGGACATGGCGAGTTCTTCTGTGACACCTCAAGGCGTTCTCCTACCACCTCACAAAATTTCAAGGCGCCGGTAAGTCGAGGTCAGTTTTGACCCCCTCGCCGTAGACTTTTCGGTAAACCGTCAACGGCACTTGTGTTCTATCGCCCCAAGGCACCATCGTGCCAAAATTGACGCGCCTGCGGCGCCGGGAAGTGCCCTATCAGGCACCTGATCACTTTGCATTATATATATAGATGTAAGAAAAGGAAAACATAAGAAAAATGCATGGAAAAATATATACATCAATATATACATATGTTTAAATACTACTAAATTCTATTAAAGATATCTAAAGCCTCGAGTAAAACTAATCCATACTATTACAATTCTAAAAGCAATTGTCAAAAGCACAACCCCTGTCTAACCAAGAACTAGCAACTTAAAAATAAAGTGTAAAACAAATTCATTGTAGAACCAATCTTTCCTACACAAGGAGCAGCCCGAAGCCATTGGTCTACCTATACAACAGCCATATTGCTAACATTGAAGTTAACACACTCCGCTATGGCCCCAATGAAGGTAGACACCAAGCAAGCGATACTCAACATGACGTTGCACGAAACAGCACACACATTAATTTTAAACAACCTAAAACTCAAGGCAACTAAAATATACTCATTACTGTCTAAAACAACCGACTATTGACTAAGCCAATCCTAGTCATCGTGGGGGGAACCCACAATATCAACACATCAAAATAAAGTAAAACAATCAAGTATATGCACATTCGCATTCGCACCAGTTTGGAAAACAACTAAACATAACGTGGTCTAAAACACACGCCAAGGGTTTAGAAAACACCAAAATATATTTAAAACCAACAAAAAGAATACACCACGTGTGTAACAGACATGCCGATGCCCTTTATCTCGTTTTAGACGAAAAAGGAATAAAACAAGAACACATCGGCAGTCGCATTCATACAAATCACATAAAGATAAAATATAAAAAAAAACAAATACCTCCAACGCACGAAGTGCGACCACAGACAACTGACTTGACTTACATTCTTGCGTTCAAAAAGAAAGAAATTATCCGAGCGGTAAGTTTTTATACTGACCGCTTCGGGCGGAAGGGGAAACCCCGTAGCCGCTGTCCAGTGGACCATCCACTCACAGATTCGCACCCAATAAAATAATACAAAATAAATAGTCCATTCACCCGGTCACATATACTACTAAAACTCAAGTTTATTTACATGTTTGAATATTTATTTGTTTGTCCGTTTGGCTACTATGTGTAGAGCTGTAAAATAGTAATTAGGTAGAGAACAATTTTTTTTTCATAAAGACAAATTTAGTTAAAGACGTTAATAAATTTATTGATTTATTCATTGGTAGATTAACCACATTAATTATAAAAGTTCAAAACAATGAGCTTACTTGGAGTGAATAGTGACGTCACATGATTTATTTACTTTTTAAAACAACAATGTCCGTACCATCGAAGATTGTGTTGCCCATTCAGATCTTTAACGCGTTCTATAGCTAATTTTCTATCGGCTATAACTTAACAATACGTCCGTTTGCTGTGTTAGTTACGTTTTTATTACGTTCCAACACTTATATCAATTTTCAACTGTCTTTTTCATTTAGCTTTACAATAATTTTCTCTAGCTCTACAATCTAAAGTTGTTTATAGATCTAAAGATCAGCTGACCAAGAATGTTATTTATAGATCTAGAATCTAGGTAGAACAAAATTATTTTAAAATCAGAATAATTTATTGAGTTTCTTTCTTAAACTATTTTAGTCCTTAAATATTTGATATAAATCTTTGCTTGTTAGCTTCACGAATCATCTAATTCAAGAATACAAGTGTTATTTTTATTTTGACTGCTCTAGACTATACTAGACGCTAGAACTAGATTCTAGAGTTGATACGGGAAATACCACATCTAGAATTAACCAAATCAATCGCAGAATCTAGATAGAATTATCTAGATCTCGAGAAATCTTGCTCTAGATAAAAATGAGTTTTTATACTAAACTATTTTATATTAATCTGTGTTAGTTTAGCTATAAATTTGACTTATCGTAAATTCTAGATCTAGACTTACGTAAATTCTACATCTAGAATCTAGATCTAGAATCTATTTCAGGACTTAATTATTTTATATAAATATTTATTTAGCTTCAATGATCATGTAATTCGAGAATGCATGGGATTTATCTATCTTATAATCTAGAACCTAGGTTCTAGATCAAGAATCTATATAGATCTAGAGTTACGGCGAAAACTAGAATCTGGACTCAACGTAAATTCTACATCTAGAATTTAGAACTAGAATCTATATACTAAACTATTTCAGGCCTTAATTATTTTATATAAATCTTTGTTTGTTTAGCTACGGAATTGGCTAATTTGGGATATAGGCTCATAATTAAAATTAAAATAATAGGACCTATTCGCGTAACTTAGTGTCTTACTTTGCAGTAGAATATAGGACTAATTCTACATTGGTTAGTAAGTGCCCCTATAGCTATAATGGTAGTGTAATGGCTACCATGCAGATGGTACGTTTTCGATGACACATCACGATAACGTAATTTTTTTTTCAATTTTTGTTTTTATAAACGTGAATTATGAATTTGCCTATCGGGACCTCGAGTGACACAGGGCAGGTGAAGTAGAGTTCTTCTTTTTCTTTGTCCTCAGCATATGAAGGGATAGTGTGGTCGTGGTCATGCTCGGCCGGAATCGTTTTTTTTTACACGATAAAACATGTTGTCTGAGACTTGGCGGGACACTGGGCAGGTGAAATAGAGTTGAGTAGGTCTCCTGTTACGTCAGTATATGAAGGGATAGTGTGGTCAGACCCATGCTCAGCCGAAATCGGTGTTTATAAAAGATAAAAAACGTCTTTTTGATTGTGGGGTCTGGTTATTTTGTGATGATAAGTGACAGACGTGATGTCATTTATGGATGACCCCCGAAACCCACAGTTATCTAACTAGATAACGGGTATTCTAGTGATATCGTTCGTTCACTAAGTCGTTCGTTCATGGGTTGTTCGCTCACCAGGTTAGTTTCATCGTGCCACTAGCTTTCTTGTTGTGTTCGGCTGGTCATGTGTTGAATGAATTGATCAAACTTGACTGATGGTTAAAACAGCCAGGTCACTTAAATCTAATCTTATTTTCTCTTTGTCAGTCTAATTGGGATTTGATTGAAAACACTAAATCTACATCAGAATCTTGACGTGATGCTTTGGGGCGGAGGGGGGGGGGGGGGGAAAGGGGGTAGGAAATTCACGTAGGCTATACGTTAATCCATTTGCTGTCGTGTATTCTCTGTTATTACAGGGAACATATGCAGTTGTTATATGGGAGCATATGTGGTTGCTTATAAGGGGGAGATTTGTGGTTGCTTATATGGGGTACATGTAATTGTTTAAAAGGGATAGGCCTATATTTGTGGGTTTTTTAATTATTGGTAACGTATGTGGTTCTTTATATGGGGAACACATGTTGTTTTCATTATTGGGAACATATTTATGTTTTCTATATGTTGTTGTTTATTTGGAGAACAGACAAACAGACAGACAGACCGACAGACAGAACGACCGACCGACCGATCGACCGACCGAACGACTGACCGACCGACTGACTGACTGACTGACTGACTGACTGACTGACTGACTGACTGACTGACTGACTGACCGACTGACTGACTGACTGACTGACTGACTGACTGACTGACTGACAGACTGACTGACTGACTGACTGACAACCGTCCGACTAACTGACCGACTGACTGACATAAGACAGACGAAGGTGCAATCATTTTGAATTTTTCTGCTTTAGATCTGCTCAATAATGTGTTATAATAGGGAATAAACTAACTGGATTTGTTTATCACAAATAAAAAAGAACAAATAACTCCCAAAGTTTTATCGACCTAGACATATTGATTTATCCATTTTGCACCAGTAATTGACCCACACGTCAAATCAGAGTACACACCACGCTACCATAGGTACCAATAAACAACCAATGTTTCTAAACAAACAAAACAAGAAATCTCTCAAGACGACCAGAATCTAAAAATACTTCCACCAACGGAAAGAACAACACGGAAGTGCTTGTTACGAAAGAGAATATCAGAATCACGCGAACTTATGGAGCCCGCTTGATACTAAAATAAATAAACTTATAAACGACAGTTTACACCAGGCAAAACGAGGAAGAAAATATTTGTATAAAGTTGACCCGACGACTTTCGCCCGTTGGCATGTTGGAAACAGGTCGGCCATCTTTGAAAGAAGTTATCAAAACACCACCAGGAAGGACTGCTCGCTAGGCTTCGTTAGGAAAGGTGACCGGTGCTACTCATACTTTGATGTACTCACCACGAACGATGATTGTGTGTCGCTTTGTAGTATATCCTTGTAAGTGCAGCTTTAAACTCCTCATTATATAGCATAACTACTAATTAGCCATGATCAGCTTAACATTGCTTATAACGGTTATATAGGAATTTGGACTTTGTCAGAAATAAATGCAACAATAAATGTATCCAAGCAAATAATAAACTAAGGAACGGTGTGGACGTTAGTAAAGCGCGCAACTGCTAACCCGAAAAGGCTCAGGTTCAGTTAGTAGTAGTAGTAAACAGTATACAGTAAAGAATAGATTAGTAGGTTAGGTAGGAAGTTGAAAATACATTTTTATAAAGAACATTGTATTTTTGAACTTGAACGTGCGCTGGATATTTCTTCATCTCAATTCATCACCCCCACTCTCACATCTGGGTGGTTGTTGTTTATCCCCCATTACAACTGGTGTGGCTGAAGATCATTACATCCTCTCGTACCCTCATACCCTCCTACTGAAGTTAATTTTTACTTATTGATTAGCGTAAACCTGTTTATTGTGTTTGGTCATTTAAATAGGATTCAGTAATTACCACGTCACAACTTCATCAAGTGACAATACGCAACTAAAATAATTTCTGGATAGTGTGGCTGAGGGGGGGGGGGGGGTAGGATGTGGGGGAAGGAGTTCATTGAAAATTTGTATTTAGTGTTTGGGAGAGTAGGTGGGTATAAAGTTACAATAAATTGTGATATGTACATATAAATACTGAAATATAGAAAATACTTTTTTTAACCACACACCCCTATGAGCTTTTCCGGGCTACTGCCACCGAACGAATGTACATAAGGTGTTCGACATATCAAACACCATATCACATTATATCAAGCGATGTATCTCCCTACAACATGCAGCTTAATCAATTGACTGTTGTAATTTATAAATGTGAAGAGCAAAGTAAAGAATCCTCTTTAGACCTAGCAATCCATTGGGCAGATGAAGTAGTTTATATTTTTCTTCACCCATCAGGGCTGGGTGGACTCAGGGACATTCTACTGACTTGAACCAGGATTCGAACTCGAGACTGTCGGGTTAGTAGCCTAGCGCTCTACCTCTTAGGCCATGCCGCCCATAATTTATAAATGTGTTAAGGGTTAAGTTTAAAATCATTACTCCTAGTGATCGAATCAGGTCTGCCTAAAATCCAGTGTGTCTTAGGTCGGTCTAGTTTTCAATATAAATTCATCAGTAATCCTAATTGTATATTTTGATTGATAAATAGCACGAGCTAAAATGAACCAGGGTTGTTGATTACTTATTCGCGCATTGAAGTTTAAGTATAGGCAAGACTTGTAGTTGTTGGAGTAATCTAGAAGACGCCAAGGTATGGAGCCTGATTGTCGCAGAGCTCCCGCATATCTCCTGCGTGTGTTATTTCTCTTCGCAGTTTCACTTAGCTATTCGTCAGCTTTTCCATATGATAGACCATCTCTCGGTGATGTGTATAGCGAGTATACGGACTTGAAACCAACTGATTTGAGACATGGAATTTTCAATGATCTTCCACAAGTAATTATTCCTTTGCCGGGGTGGCTTGATAAACACAGACACCATAATACAAAAGAACAAAATGATAAAACAGAACAACATGAGGCAACCGGATACCGTGGAGCAGTCGGATACTATGATACACCAGGACAAAATATTATAATAAATATTTACCCAATAGAAATCAGTTTTTCAGAAAGCGAGGAATCATATGAAGAGTCTAAATCATCATCAGAAGAATGGCCGCGGTCATCAGAAGAAAAGACATCATCATCGGAAGAATGGACGCGGTCATCAGAAGAAAAGACATCATCATCGGAAGAACAGCTGCAATCTTCAGAAGAAAAGCCATCATCATCTGAAGAATGGCCGCGATCATCAGAAGAAAAGACATCATCATCGGAAGAACAGCTGCAACCTTCAGAAGAAAAGCCATCATCATCGGAAGAATGGCCGCGATCATCAGAAGAAAAGCCATCATCATCGGAAGAAAATCTGCAATCTTCAGAAGATAAGCCATCATCATCGGAAGAATGGCAGCGATCATCAGAAGAAAAGCCATCGTCATCGGAAGAATGGCCGCGATCATCAGAAGAAAAGCCATCATCATCGGAAGAACAGCTGCAATCTTCAGAAGAAAAGCCATCATCATCGGAAGAATGGCCGCGATCATCAGAAGAAAAGCCATCGTCATCGGAAGAATGGCCGCGATCATCAGAAGAAAAGCCATCATCATCGGAAGAACAGCTGCAATCTTCAGAAGAAAAGCCATCATCATCGGAAGAATGGCCGCGATCATCAAAAGAAAAGCCATCATCATCGGAAGAACAGCTTCAATCATCAGAAAAAAAGTCAGCATTATCAGAAAAAAATCTTATATCAATAAAATCAACACTGGCTTCAGATGGGGATGCATTGGTAGCTAACCTTCTACATAAACATAAAACGACAAAAATAAAAAAAGAAAGCAGTTCATCACAAATAAGCAGCGAAAAGCAGAAAACACCATATTCTTTGCTAAGAAAAGCCACACTGCAGGAAAAATCACAAACGTCTGAATCTCAAATACCTGCATCACATTCCCTAATTAAAAAAGCAACATCTCAAGCAGAAGCTCAAAAACCTGAAGCAGATTCTCCAGAAACGCAAGTACCACCAGTTACGAAAAAAGGCAAACACTGCTCCTTCAAACATTTGAGTAGCTGCTACGTTGTTGCCGATATGCTCCTGAAATTTGACGACTGTTCAAAAAGATGTCAGAATTCTAGGTAAGTGCAAATTAGGACATATTAAACTTTGTGCAACACTTAAAGTATTGCTTGCAACCAGGCAATATTTTAATCAAAATATAGATTAGTTTCGAAAAAAAGACACATGAATGTACCAGTTTTGTACCTTTCCTTCACAAACTAGTTACGATGTTGTGGTACCGAAATCGGCCGAAACGAAAGCATTTCTTCACAAGCAGATGGGAGGTTCAGTGAATACGCTGAGTCGCACCAACATCTATCCTTACTGGCTGGGTATTAAGTTCACAAACAACGCCTGGCACTTGCATGCGTAAGTGAAAAGTGTTGCATAACAACTTTGCCTAATAGCAGCTTCTATTTGTTGCATTAAGTTTAGTATTATTTCAAAAAGGTAATTAAGTTTGATTTGTTAAGGATAAAATGTTACGTTGATTTGTATTTCCTGCTTTGGTAATGGTTGGCGATGGTTATTGTTTAGGGTAATGCTTTATGAAGTTGTGACCAAACGCAGTGCTTAGCACTCTTTTTGACTATACTGGCAAGACTTTGAGAGGGATCGTGTTACAGGGGCAACACGAGATGACTTAGACTAATTCCCTAATGCGCAGTCTAAGATTTCACTTTTCTGGGAGAACTACTGTCCTTTAATGCAGGAAGAGGCTCTAATATTATATAATGATTTTTGTTTGTTACAATGCACTTTAAAAATGTTTTTTTACGTTAAAGACTAATCCGTTTTTTATAGGAAATCTAGCGAGGCTGTTGGTTACAGCAACTGGGTGCCGGATACACCAATGTCTCCGAGCAACGATGCGTGCGCGGCCGCAGATCTGAACGACTCACTCTGGAGGATATCCGAGTGCACAGACGTGGCTCTTTGTGTGTGCGAATCGTCTGTTCAGCAAAGCAAGCGGTAGACCTAGAGCCAGTCGCTGGCGTGCTTGCTTTATGTATCTATAAACAGTTGTTTGTAGCAAAACAATGTATTTGTATCAATAAACAATTGTTTATATTAATACATATTTCTTTGTGTCAATAAACAGTTCTTTGTGTCAATAAATAACTATTTACATAAATAACCATTTTGCTGTATCAATAATCGATTGTCTTCATTATTAAATAGTTTTTCGGATAGCGTTCGTCAGTGCCTTTTAGCGCTTGTTGACATTGTTGTATGTTTTATCCGACTAAACTTAACATGGCTGTAGAGTTGAATAGTAATTGTTTTGAACGACAAGCGCAATAACAAATAAAACCCTTTATAGTAAGGTGGTCAGGTTTGGGCTTGAAAAAAACAAAAACTAATTTTCTCGAATGAGAAAGGTTTAGTGTTAACTCTGTTGCAGGTATCTATTATATGTAATTTCAAACATAAAGCAGGATTGAATATGTACGAAGCGAACAGTGAATAAAACAAATATAATAATAAAAAAACCTTCATAGCAACTAGCTTGAAATGCATCAAAAAATAAGAAATAAAAACTAATTTATCAAACAAAAAAAGTTTTATTGCTAAAATTTTTTAAAAGATCTCACGAGCGTTAAAATTTTTTATCAAATAAACCAAATTAGTTTTATTTTCTTATTTTCTGTGCATTTAAAGCTTGTTAATACAAACCATACTGACAATTGCGATTATTAATTCGTTATTTCTGGATGGATGTGTGTCCGCAGCTTTAAGTCGTATCTCCTCCTCAACGAAGCAATATCGAGGACTAGCTATTAAAGCAAATATATAAAGCAAGTTCCGAGGATGAACATAGGCCAAAAAATTTTCCGGGTTCCCTTCTTGGATTTCCCGGAAAAGCCAGAAAATCTCGAAAAAAAGGCAGGTTTTGGCCCATATCTCGGCAACCAGACCACTTAGCGACTTGAAACATTTACCAATCGATTCCTGCCATAATTTAGAACAATATTGCCGAAGAAAGTTTTTAAAAATATCCTTTCGTTCGGTCACAATTTTTTTTTAAAAATTACATTATACATAATACACTACAGAACTATATAGCAATATATAGATACTAGCTGCATCCTGTGCTCCGCCACGCTAAATCTTTTTTAAATGTACCAACTTTGGAATAGAACAAAACAAACAAAACACAACCACAACACAACCACAACACAACCACAACACAACACAACCACAACCACAACACAACCACAACACAACCACAACACAACCACAACACAACCACAACACAACCACAACACAACCACAACACAACCACAACACAACCCCAACACAACCACAACACAACCACAACACAACCACAACACAACCACAACACAAACACAAACACAAACACAACTACAACACAACCACAACACAACACAACACAACCACAACACAACCACAACACAACCACAACACAACCACAACACAATTACACCACAACACAACCACAACACAACCACAACACAGCCACAACAATAGAATCATCACCGAACAACTCGCTTTTTCTAGGCGTCCGCGCCCAGAGAGAGCCTTTCCAGCATTCTCTATACTATAATTCTAAATTTTCAACATCTGTTAACACCGAAAAACAAAAACAAAATATAGTGATTTTGAGAGATCATAGTCTAATTAGAAAATAATGTAAATAATCATAACATTTTTCTATTTTACTTATGAACCTTAACATATAATAATCAATGTGGTAGTAATAAAAAAAATTAACTTAAATTATTGAGAGGGAGTTGAATATTAAAAACACGTTTTCCCCGGCGTCTGCGCACAGAGAGAGCCTTTCCATTATTCTCAAAAAGTCTAATTTCAACATCTGTTTTCATAACACCGAAAAACAAAAGCAAACAGATAGTGATTTTTGAGAAATCATAGACTATTTAGAAAATAATAATAAATAATATAAATAATCTTAACATTTTTCTCTTTTAATTATGAACCTTAACATATAATAATCAATGCGGTAGTAATAAAAAAAAAATATTGATGAGTTAAATATATTTTCAAATTACCTCCCTTGCAAAAATTACAACAAAAAAAAGTTGAATTAATTAGTTTTTTCGACCTACTTTTATGAAAATGTATCCATTTTTTTAGGAATATAAACGAAAATAATATTTGACATTGATCTTTTTAATATGTTTTATCAATGTGCGTGTATTTAATATTTTCTTTACGTTATGCAAAAAAGTAAAATGGGTGGCAATTACAAAATAGCTCTTTGCCGTTATATTAACAAACCCTACTCCATTACTAAAAGAAGACACTGCGGTGCACTGAAAAGCACAGTATGGTGCGATGTTTACTTTTATGGTTTCAAAATCTTTAGCGATGACAGAAGGACTGACACACGCTCAGCCCGCTTATATTATGTATAGATCTATGGGGAAAGGGATGTGTCAAAATAATCTATTTTTCGCTGTCTTTTGAATATTAAAACTACTTGTATTGCATTATTTATTTGCTGAATATTTGATTTATCTCGATTTAAAATTGTTATGGATAACATAAAGAAATTGCGCTTAAATTGTCACTAGACTTTTTATTAACTTGTTTAATATATGTTTTATTTACTTCTTTTTAGTGATTTTCTTATTTATGAAGTAGACACGACTAAAAATATTTGCTCCAAAACACCATCAGTAGTTCATCTGTAGGCCTATATCTATTTATCTATCTATCTTATCTTAATACTACTAAAAGTCAAGTTTGTTTACATGTTTGAATATTTATCTGTTTGTTTTTTTGTTTGTCCGATCGAGTATTGTGATATGTTATACTCTATCTGGAGAGCTGTAAAATAGTATGTAGGTAGAGAATAATTTTTTAATGCAGACAGACTGTTAATCACAAATTTATTTAAAGACGTTAATTAATTTATTGATTTATTCATACGTAGAGTAACCCTATTTTTTTAAAAAGATTAAAACGACCACTACACTCGGCGGGACCGTGACGTCACAGTGTTTTGTTTACTCTTTAGTACAATAAAATGGCGGCATCTATCGAAGAAAATTGTGTTCCCATTCAAAAGTTTAACGCGTTCTAAATATAACTTTCTGTCGGTCATACCTTTAACAATACGTCCGTTTGCTGTATTTATTACGTTCCAACACTTATATCAATTTTCAACTGTCTTTTTTCATTTAGTTTTACAATAAATTTCTCTAGATCTAAAGATCAGCTGTCGAAGGAAAGTTATGAATCTAGCCTAGATTCTAGATCTAGATCTAGCCTAGATCTAGGTCACTCTAGACTCAATGTAAATTCTAGATCTAGACTTAATGTAAATTCTACATCTAGAATCTATTTCAGGCCTTAAACATTTTATATAAATCTTTGTTTAGCTTCAATGATCATCTAATTCGAGAATACATGGGATTTTTTTTTATCTAGGCTCTGTATCTAGATATAGTAGGATTACTCACTAACTTGGACGCGTGGTCGGCTGCTAACAACAATATGGCGTCCGGACCGGACGCATGACTTCCGACCATTTTTAGGCCATGTTTACCACGAGCAAAATGGCGGATGTTCACATTATTTAAACATGGTATAGGTCGCCAGGGCTAGATATGCCAGAAAAGCATTTTAAAATTTGCTTTGGAGAATGAAGGCTAAATTTTAAAGTCAGTGTCATAAAAATTAATAGAACTTTTTTTTTTACGTTTTCAATTATTTTTTCTTAAGCCCTATATGTGAATGATAAGGTTGACCATCAGGACCTCGCGGGGCACAGGGCAGGTGAAGTAGGGTTCATCTGTTTCTTTGTCCTAAGCATATGAAGGGATAGTGTGGTCAGAGACATGCTCGGCTGGAATCGTTTTTTAAACGATAAAAACATGTTGTCTGAGACTTGGCGGGACACTGGGCAGGTGAAGTAGAGTTGAGTAGGCCACCTGTGACGTCAGTATATGAAGGGATAGTCCGAAATAGGTGTTTTCGGTGTTTATAAAAGATAAAAAACATATTTTTGAATGTTGGGTCTGTTTTTTGTGACGATAAGTGACACTGCAGTAGCGTAGCGAGGAGGGGGGGGGGGTGAGGGACATATGTCCCCGGGCGCCGACCTAAGGGGGCGCAAAAATGGGTTGGAAAAATTAATTGAAAGGTTGAGGGGGGTGCAAATCGAAAGTTTGAGTGGGGGGGGGGGGAGGGGTTGAAAAATCGAAATCTTGAGGGGGGGAGGGTTCAAATCGAAAAGTTTGTCCCCGGGCGCCGGGAAGGGTCGCTATGCCTCTGAGTGACAGACGTGATGTTTTTTGATGGATGACCCCCGAAACCCACAGTTATCCAACGGATGACGGGTAGTCTAGTATACTACTAAAAGTCAAGTTTGTTTACATGTTTGAATATTTATTTTTTTGTTTTTTTTGTTTGTTTGTTTGTTTGGCTGATCGACTATTGTGATATGTTCTACTCTATCTGGAGAGCTGTAAAATAGTATGTAGGTAGAGAATAATTTTTTAATGCAGACAGACTGTTAATCACAAATTTATTTAAAGACGTTAATTAATTTATTGGTTTATTCATAGGTAGAGTAACCCTATTTTTTTAAAAAGATTAAAACGACCACTACACTCGGCGGGACCGTGACGTCAAAGTTTTTTGTTTACTCTTTAGTACAATAAAATGGCGGCGTCTATCGAAGAAAATTGTGTTCCCATTCAAAAGTTTAACGCGTTCTAAATCTAATTTTCTGTCGGTCATAACTTTAACAATACGTCCGTTTGCTGTATTTATTACGTTCCAACACTTATATCAATTTTCAACTGTCTTTTTCATTTAGTTTTACGATACATTTCTCTAGATCTAAAATCTGTCCAAGAAAGTTATTTATAGATCTAGATCTAGATCTAGAATCTAGAATCTAGGTCAAATCAAAGATTTATTAGTTATAAATACAATCCAAAAAAAAACGAGACTTAAGCAAACCAGTCGTAGATCTAGAATATAGATAATTCTATCTAGATTTAGATAATAATGAGTTTCTATATACTAAACTATTTTAGACCTTTATTATTTTGTATAAATCTTTGTTTGGAATATGGTAATTTTGAAATGCTCGCTCACGGGCCTAATGAT